TACAATTTCGAAAATTTCTTTAGTGGTACGGTAACAAGTTTTCCCAATTTAGTTGATTTTCGCACTCCTCCTAATTTTGCAAAAACCACACAATATTTACAGAAAAGCCCTTGTAGTTCCTCTGAATATGACAGCCAAGGAAATTTATCAAAGTGTTCTTTTGATAAGTAACATGTCACTTCATTATTATTTTTCAAGTGTGTGAAATAGGGATATTTGAAAGAGTCATTAGGGATGATCATTGCACACCTCAATAAGGTATATTTTTCATGGGAAGACAAGTTGCCGCTGAAATTTACATATGGCGCAACATCAACAAAATTGGATCCTTTAGGTTTCGCACCCGATTGTTCAACACTTGGTTCAGCATACGGTGTAACATCAAGAAATTTTGAAGTGGAAGGCTCAGGTTGAATTGTAGGAGTATCATCAGTTTTTTTCGGTAATTCTTGTGCCGGTGGATCAGACAGTTTGTTTTGTTTATAAAGGAACCAGTCGATGATATTCTGTTTCCTTTTACTCATCCTGACAACAGCAGCCGTCAACCAGCACTAAAAGTTACACAAATATTGTCAAATAAACGGCATCATTGGTTTCCACGTATTCACGTATCTCATAACAAAGAACCTTCTCTGTTTGGAAAACAAGATTTCTTAAGTTCACGCAATTTTCAAAAACTAAATATATAATTTGCCATCTCGGACGAACGAAATGCACTGAAGTTGTTATATACAGGGACTTCCGAAACAAAATAGTCATATATGATAATGATACCTGTAGTATGGACCAAACACTTCGTAATTGAAATTATATTAAATTTCCATTTTTCCGTCTGTCATTTTTTTAGACATGATTCTTTCATAGTATAAAAATTAAAAACAAACAAAAATTAATTTTCTGGCTTATGCGTGGAAAATTAAAAATCAATAGGACATAGAAAATAGGGTTAATACCAACCAGATCAACAAAACTCGGCTTGTTCACTTCTCAGCCAAATTTTGTTGCGGACTCCGGACTGGTAGTGGAAGTACGTCCAAAATGACATTTCGTTTTATTAATTATCAATAACTTTAATATTATTCATAATAGGAACATATTTTTTTCTTACAACTCTGCTTATATTAATTGCTTAACAGGAATCATATAGATTTGGTACAGAATTTAGACACTTAGACACTAGACTAGACCATATGATACTAGACTATACCTGTTACAACAGGAAGAAGCGCACACCGTTGCTGTTGATGGGAGAGTAGTCGCTAGTCGCATGCGCACTGAGCGGGTTGGCAGTGTTGCCGCTATCTTTGCTTCTTTTATAAGTCGTTTACTTTATACCACCTTTTCAAAGACTGCTTGAGTCGTCTGGGGAGGGAGGTAATTACCCCCTTTACCAACCCCCCCCCCGTGGGAGCGTCAGTGCTATAGACAATTCATAAGGCACACCTGAACTTCTTTCAACATTTGTTGGGCATTGCATTGGACAGGACAACATGGACAATAATTATACACTGGAAACCAAATACCACTGACGTCGTAATGTGCATGAGAGAGAAGGGCGAGAAGTGAGCAATACGTTGTGTGCAACACCTCGTTGTCTAGCAACCCCGAGTGGCAAGGTCACGAACGCCATCGGCGCACTCTTTCTTCCATACATATTGGACGCTTCTCGCGTTTTTCTGTTGTACACATTACGACGCCAGCCAAATTTGAACCTCACCGTATCTTATGTTTGTTAAAGTAACGTTCTAACTTCTATTCTTTGAACGTGATGGAATCCATCCTTTTTCATCACGCTTCTACTTCTCGATGCTTCCGTTCTTCTCTAAGCTGCCACCTAAAGCGGCTAATGTTTTAATTTCAGCGCCTTCAAAGTTTTAAGCCAGTTCCTTACCGATTAGGCTAAACAGTTGGGTTATCGAAAGGAAGTTTGAAGCTCCGAATAACATGTTTCAATACGTGACTTCAGCCAATCAACCTGTGAGTTAATTCTTGAAACGAGGAAGTACCATAACCATCTATTTCATTTCAAGGAATTGCATTCCTGAATACTAATTGAGAGCCGTTTCCCGAACCATTCTCGAAAGAAATACTGCGAAAGTTTTGCCGTCATCCATCAATCTCATCTATAGAGATGAAGTTGACTTTGTGATGGAACGTTTAATGATAAGAACGCAGGAACATGTTACTCTGACAAATTTCAACAGCTGTCAGAATTTGTTCTCATTCTCCAGACAAAAAAACCACGCCCGTCCTCTTTCATTGGTTCTACTCCACTGTTTTCACGTGTAGGGGTAGTTTTCAAAATTTTCAAAGCGCTCATTCAGAGGACATCTAGTCAAGTCATAATTCATGCAGCTAAGCAGCTGAGCGCAACTAAACGTATTCAGTCTCCAGAAAAAAAAGGTAGCACAAGGGTAGTGGGAAACACCTTATTCAAAAGAGTGGTTTGATAACTTTCAGGCTGCAACACAACCGAAGCTTGGAGAATAAATAAGAGAAAGTTCAGAAGAATTTTGACTAACCATATTTGTTACTCAAAGCACGCCTATAGAAAATTGCAGGAAATGACAAAGAAAGTGTAAAGCATATGTTAATAACTATGAGAGAAACCCAGCTCTGTTGTTACTCAAAAAGAATATCATCAAGAAGGTTTACTATGAACTTCCCACGCAACGTTATCATCACTTCATAAGGCATTATGCTCGGCACAAGTCAGCGCCTCTGAGAAAAAAAGTTTGCTACGAACACCTACTACAAAAAAATGAATGGTCATATTAGTCGAGCTGGCAAATGTAATTAGTTTGTAGTCCCCACCCATGTGACAATGTTGCGGTCTAGAAACTTTTCCCTGCCCCACCGACAGTATGGATCATCTGGCAACGGTGTTATGGCCAACCTCGCCACTCTCCACACACCCATCATTAAACATCAGAGTCTTCAGACTCAGACATTGGTCAGATTTCGACGCAAGTATATCTACATTCGTGGCGACGCTGCGACGCGTGTTATGAAAATAATCCAGTACCGTTCTAAGGGGAAATATATCGCTAAACCTATGATCTGTTAAACATTTCTAATAAGTGCGTAGAATTACCGTAGTTGAAAGCATATAAAAACGACAAAAAATTGACATACTCTTTCCAACCCATACAACCACCAACCACCAATTTCCCTCATAATATTATTAAGGTTAGTTGTAACTTCGCCTGTTCGTCCTTGGCATAGTAGCATTGATTAACGTATTCTTCCCTAAAATAGCCTACCAGTGCCCAAAAAATTACCAATGATGCAATAATTAGAAATCTACTCTAAAAAGTTTAGTGTCTCATGGATAGCATATGGTTGGCTACAGCACTATCTATGAGATATTAACTAGCCTTTTAAAAGTACAGTACAGGGTTGTCTGTCTTCAAGTAAAATACCTTCATCAATGGTCAATGCGTCAAATTTCATTAAAATTTTGGAAATCCTAGAGAGCTCAATGACTAGCGGACAGAATAACAGACAAAAATATTGACAGACCGACAGAATTCAGTGATGGCATGGGAAATAATACACATCATATGTTACTTTCACTATGGTTTTATTTAGTTGCACCTAGCTGTTAAGAGCTAGCGCTGCGTAAAGTATGTTTTTCGTTCGATGTAGCACTACGCTGTTTCGGTGGTAGTTGTTATTGTCTTTGCTAGCTTTCAGGTTATATTTTTCTTACCGTTGCACGGGTTTCGTGAAGCTGTATAAGCCAGGATCTGAAGACTATCCAGTCCTCCCGGAGTTTTAAAACTCAGTTAAAAAGATATTTTCAAGAATTGCAAAACAACCGCTAGCTTAAGAAGTTCTTTCATTTTCATACTTTTTGTATTTTTCATTAGTTATTTTTCCGTTTCTTCATAACCTATTATCTCTTCTTCTTTTTATAGCTAAATTGGCACAAATAGTCCTATTATAATGTAACCTATTATCTCTTCTTCTTTTGATAGCTAAATTGGCATAAATAGTCCTATTATACTGTGACTTAATTTTTGTAGTTTCACATTTTTTTTTGTTTGTTGTTTTTGTATAACTTGTTTTTTTTTTCACTTTTGTACGGGGTTAGATGGTGGAATAGCAGGTGCTAAATCTCGCCCCATGTAATGTACCATGTTTTGGTCAATAAAGACGATTATTATTATATAAAAGTGAACAACGAATCTTATGATGAAGAATTTTTTTCACGAGAACTTTCTAAGACACATTCAACCCGAATGTCAGCAGAATGAATGCTTTTTTCTTATAGATTACCAGTGGAGTAGTTTTATATTTTTTAAGGGAATAACAATCTTCTTCTAGAGCAGAGTTCCCCAAACTTTTTTGTGTCGTAGACCCCTTGCCATGTTTTTCCGTGTTGGGTAGACCCCCTACTTACCTGATATTGATTTCCTGTAAATTTCTAACTGTAGTGAAGTTTAGTGTTAAAAACTTAAAGTAAAAACACATGTTAATTTATACATTTATTAATTGAATTTAAATTAAAATGACTCAAAATAAAATTTTGTATCTGTTATGTAAAATATACGGAACATTAAATAAACAGGTGTCTGACCAATAAGTGCCCGCATTGGGAATAACTGCCCGCATTGAAAAAAAGATAAGAGGGATAAAATAAAAAAAAGGTGAAAAATAATAAAAAAAAAGTTTTTTACTTAAAATAGTACAATAAGCGAGTTCGTTTATTAATTATAACATAAACGTATGTTCTACAATAATTTCACTGTTAGTTTGATTCAATTCCGCTTCTTATACGTTTAAGTTATCTAAAAATAGGCAAAAAATTAACGAATTTTAGTGTGTACCTATCCTTGAATTTTCAGAATAATTAAAAAAAAATATTTTCTATAAAGGGGGGTTCTTTAAAAAAATCAATGCGGGCACTTATTCCCAATGCGGCCATTTATTGGTCAGACACCAATAAACATAAAATAAACTATAAATAAAATAACATAAGCAATGAGTCAATATTTTTAGTGAGAAGGATGAACCTGATGCTTTAATAATAAATTATCAACATTTGGCGTCAGTTTTGTAAGGGTTAATCTTACATCTCCGTTAGGAGATTGGTAACAGCGCTGAACCCCCTTTCCACTAGGTATGACGATGGAAAGTAAATTAAAAATTTCCTCGCTATATTTCATAATACGGGATAAGTAACGGGTATGTTGTTTTGCAGTCAGAATTGCTGATATCATTTTTTGAAACTGAACCTTAAGTTCTTCGTTTGTACTTAGTTCAGTTAGTTCCTCTTGTATTATGACATTCGTTTCTTCTATGTCACCATATGGATTAATTATCCATGGTGGTATTACCATAGTCAAAATATCCTCAAACCTAGATTCAAAATCTGAATAGAGGGCATTTAAATGTTGAACGTAAGTTGAAACGTCGTCTTCCTGGCAGCTTGTCTGTGACAAATTGGGGAACTAAGAAAATTCGCCCCGTCCAATATTTTGCTTCATTAGTTTAACTCTGGCAAGAAACGCTGATAAGATGGACTTTATTTTAATCAAATTTAAACTGTCGCCTTGTAATTGCAAATTAACCATATCAAATTTTGTAAACAAATCTGTTGAATAGGCGATGTCTGTTTTCCTCTTCATTAAATTTTCTTTTAAAATTTTATCTTTAGTATCCAGAAATTCTAAAATAGTCTCAAAAAGTGCAAAAAATCTTGTCAAACATAAGCCTTTCGACAGCCAGCGTACTTTAGTGTGAAGGAGTAATTGATGAAAGTGTTCGTCATTTTCTTCACACAACTGCGCGAATAACCGCGTATTCAACGCGTTGCTTCGGATTCGGTTTACTGCATCAATGACTAAATAGCTTATAAATCCACGATAACGTCCAACCATGGCAGGTGCTTCATCTGTAGCTACTGATATTATATTTGATAAAGGAATTGCTTTTTCAATGAAGTAATCCTTCAAAACATGAAATATTGATTCACATTTAGTGTCGGTTATCAAAGTTCTTGCGAAGAGCAGTTCTTCGTAGATTTCTTGATTCATAATAAAACGAACATATGCCAATAATAATGCTGCATTATCAGGTAAAGTTGACTCGTCCAGTTGTATAGAGAAATGGGTCGTTTGCAAATAATTACATAAGAAGCTGCCAATATCAGAACTCATTTCATCAATACGTCTTTCAACAGTATTGTTGCTTAAGGGAATTCTTTTAATGATATCAGATGCAGGTTTGTGTAAAACAGTTTTTAAAACCTCTTCAACGGCTGGCAAAATTAACTTCTCTCCGATAGTATGCGGTTTTCCGGATTTTGCTATAAGTAACGAGATATTGTAAGACGCCCGCAAACCATCATCATTTGTTTGTGACGTCGAAGCGAACATCCTGTCTAGTGTAGGTCTCTTCTGAAATTTATCTTTGAGTGTTTGAAAGTATTTCAAATCTTTCTCTGTTTTATCATAGCGTCATTGCCCAAAACTTTGTTGCATAAAAGGCACATAGGCGATTGTTTGTCCGGCAATGATGGAATGAAGCCAAAAATTTCAAATAATCAACACTGTACTGTCTACATTTCTTTTTAGATTCGGACATGGCATCAGTCATCTGTGGGCAAAATTAAATTATTTAAATAAGACACAAAATCCAACAGCTGTATATTAAAAATATTTTTTGATTTTTCCGAAAATATTCCATAATTCGAACATCGCAACAATTAGCTCGAATTACGGAGATTGCACTGTAATTATATTACCGATTGCTAAAACTTTCAAAAAGAAACTATTGAGGAGTACTCGTGTAATTTTGCATGATTGAATATTTAACTACTAATAACTAAAGTCATGATTGGGCGTAATTTATCTATCTTTGCTATCTACGAGTACAAAACTAAAATTTAATAAAAAATAATGTAATTACTTTTCTCCAGCACTCTCAAACAAAATAACACTGACTCACTATAATTTGTGTGATATGCTATCTGTTTATATTTTCTAAAATATTTTCTTAGCTCTTTCCTTTTCAATATTCAGGAAACGAATAAACGTATTTGTCCCACATTCGTATTTATAGAGTGACGAATTGAACAAGTCAGTGCAAGGTAGCGAAGCTCTGAGACTGCGACTCTCAGGTTTTTACAAGTTCAAAATGTATTGCGAACACAAAGCGAATAGCAACATCCTACAACTTACACAATTTTATAAACATATATAATAAATTTTTTACTTCATAGGTACTTTTATAAATAATGTATATGTTTTGATATTATAAGATAGTATGATGTAAGTAAATAGGTACTATTAGTGTATGTGTTGAGATCCACTATCGTGGACCCCCATATTCATTTCATGGACCCCCAAATTTTGTTTCGCTGACGTAGACCCCTTGCAGGTTGTCATAGACCCCTAGGGGTCGATATAGACCACTTTGGGAATCAGTGTTCTAGAGTCTCATTTTTCTACAATTCACTTTTATTCTGAAGTCGGAACTGATTTATAAGTCACCTCGAAATTTTATTTAAGGATGGTCACGACTTATATTTCTGCAGCTTTTGCTTTTGGTAGACTTTCATGAAGCTTTAGGTTCGTCTTTCTCGAGAAAAAAAGAGCTTTTGATAGTGTAGGTGAACCTTCTGGTTGAGCAGGTATAGGTGGGAAGAATTCTCGTTGGTCTTTCACCATACAGTAGAAACTAGTATAACAATCTAAATACTTCTAAAAAACGTATTTATAAGTAGGAGCGCCAGCGTTTTGGTATAGTTGTGGCCATATTCTTTGTGCGTTGGTCCTGGGTATCTCGCAATTTTATTTTTGAAAATGATCAAATATACAGGATGAATCAATACATAGCGTCAATATAATAAACATCTTACGAGTCTAATTAAGAACCAAACACTAATATTCGTTTGATAACGCTGCGATAAGATGGTATACTTCCCTTATACTCAACATAAAATGTTCGATATCGAACTGGAGGTTTAAATTAGAATGTTTTAAAGTTTTTGCACTCAAAAACAAATTGTCTTCAAGAATTTATGACCGGGGACAATTCATGGAAAATTAATTTATTCAACAGTGCAATAGATATTTGAAAAAAGGCGGTGGTGTAGAAAATATTTTTCTTTTCGTCTTCTTCCCTGATTCTACAGCACTCGTGTCGTTTAAAATGCGAACATTAGTACATCTATAAGTGTTTAAGTTGACTTATGTTCACATGGAGCAACATTTTTTCAACGATTTCAAAATATACACCCTGTAACAAACTAGCCAATTTTTTTATAAAGAAATAAGTTTTTTCGTGTTGTCTAATTATCTCAATTAATAATAATCGACAATTACATTGGTGTCGATGGTTGTAGATGAAATGATTTTCTAAATTACATACAAGCATTCAGGTTGCTTAACTGGTTTGGACACAATATACTAATGGGCTTATGACAAAAAGTTTGACACTACTACCTTCTTCTGGATGATCAATTCATAGTCGATTTATTTAGCTCCTGATTGTATTCTGACGTTACCACGAATAATACTTGTTGTCGTCTATAATTAATGCTTTTTATCAGCACTGAAATGATAGCTCAGCAGAACAGCAGGAATAGTCCCTCGCACCTTATGGAAACGTTCAACTTGCGATGTGGGATTTTGTATCAAGAACAACAAAGGTTGCTTTGCTGAATTCCATCAAATGGTGAACTTTTTAGCTGATGCTCACTCGTTTCCTGGAAAGAGCATAGCTCCCAGCTTAATAACCATACATACAGGAAAAACTAAATTTGTATGACGGCTTGAGTTTAATGTGTACGAGATGGAAGCGCGAGAAGTGTGTATCAATACATGCTAGAAAGAGATAGAAGCCGGCTGAACAGCAAAGGTCATCCACCACATTGTCTAGCAAAAATGACGCAGAAGGTCATGCAAACTGTCGCGTCCCCGATATGTTACATCAGAAAATGTTCTCACAGGCTGCTACAATAGGTTAGGTTACTGTCAAACCCAAGAAGGAGGTCTGTTCTAACATTTAATTTAATATTTTGTTTTCGATCGTTGTTTCGTTTTTGTTTGTAAATTTTTGTTTTTGTTTTTGTTGATTAGAATTATTTCTTTCAATTTTGATGTGACTTAGTGTTTTAATTTATTTTAGAATTATCTTTATACCGGTGTGATAAAATCAGCACATCGTGAACTATGATCATGGAGGTGGAAACCTTGCCTTGGAATGTACAAGATGCGATGTTAACAAACGAACGAATGATGCAATATTTCAGAATTTGTGGCGATCCTGAGCTTTTATTTCGACCTAAAATGGAGCGCCGTTAGGACCGAACAGATGCGACACAATTCACAATTCAAAAATATGAACGCTCAAAATAATTATTTGAGCGCAAAGAATAAACTAACGCAACTTTTTAATATGCATCTTAATCCAAGAAACTAGTGTAGCATATTGGCAGCGCGGCAGATTGCCGAGTCATTGTTGTTTGGCAAGGAGGTGATGAGCTTCGCTATCCAGGCGGATTCTATCTATTTCTAACATATATGTCTATACACATCGTACACATTGAGCTCAAGCCATCAGACAAATTTGGTTCTTAGTGTATACAGTATGTTACGACGAATATTGCACATGTGGGGTATGGTAGGGAGTGTATATCACAGAACTGGCTTAGTGTTGCGTGGTGAAGATTTGTGTGATTTGGTAAATCTCTTCATTAGACAGACAACATCAAGACATGCTGTTGCATTTATACTAGTTATGATGACCGGCAGTGTAATACTTGTGATAACATACTGTACTACCTCAATATATGTATAATGCAAAAAGGAACAATTCCATAATGAAAAGCTAAACCTGGCCGCAAAGGGTTAATATATCCACTGTCATTTGAGTGCCTACATAAATGGCGTCCCACAAATATTTTTGTGACAGAATGCTTCCTTCCGTTTCTCTATTCAGTATTCAATCAGTCCCGTTGTGACCCTACAACTTACATACAAAGTATCTCATTTGCTGGTTGTCGTAGCTATCTGCCTTCTACCTTTGCTCTTTCTTCAAATATTCCACATTCACGTCGTATAATCTCAACATCATCTCCCAAATATCCGCCCTTGGAGCGTACCCATTACCCACTCTTCCTCAATCATTTGTTTCTAATCTCTCTCCACTCGCATCAAATTTTCATCAATAACCGATTGTCAAGATCGCAATAATAGCTTTTTGTAATGCTTTGTGAGAGAACAGGATAGAAACTTAACAAGAGCTTAATGATCTTACTGTCAATACGTTACGACATATATTATTTTCGGCCCAGTTCCTCGTGAGATACAAACAAGGCATTCCGTTCGAATTTACAGGGCGAACAAAATATTCTGGAAGTAACATTTTTTGTTAATACAGGCTTTTGTATATTCAAAAACAGATCAAAATAACTAGAGTACAATTTTCTAGTCTTAGACTGCAGAATTGCTTCCAATACCAAACAGACTGGAGTATTTTCGAGTTACATCCAGTAATTCGACACAGTTATTAAGTATCTTGAAAAGTGAGATTTTGTCGGCTGTTTTGACATTTTATAGGTTTTTCGAGACACAACGTATGCTTTTCTACAAGATGTCAACTTAGCACTAGCTGCAGTTCGGCAGTGCAAAGGTGCATAGTGAGAATTTGTGTGCTAATAATCTTTGTTGATAATTCCATTAGTTTCTTGTCTCAAATACACTTACTTGAGGTCTATTCAAAGCTAGAAATTAGTTGCGCATTCCTTTTACTTATTCACAGCGATCATAGTGAGCAAACGTAGAATGAACTATTTGCACCCTAAACTCTACCTAGTCTGCAAGATGACATTTTTTCGGTTTTTTTGTCGTTTTTCAGGTTTTTTACATAATACGTTGCCGGTTTTCAATCGCAGGTTATCTTTCAGGTTAGATAACTATAACTTGGAAAACAACTATAAGTATATGTAAAGCTTTTTTTTAGTTAACTAGCCAAACACTATTAATGCGGTAATGCTGCCTTTACGTCTAAACTATCGTGTTTTCTGTATTTGTGTCTCGTGTAATTCGTGACAACTGATGTCACTGTCAGGATAAACAGGTTAGGGTCTGATTTTTAAATAAAACTTTAAAGCTAGTCCACAGATGGTCGTCTGGTTAAGGTTAACTACCATTTTAGGGGAACTTTACATTGAAATACACATTTTGAGGAATACCTTTTGGTTAGTGGCAAAGTTACAGCTAACCTGCGATTGTAACGCAGTATATGTAAATGACAACAATGCAATTCGTGTGTGACTTGGTAAAAATGATAAGCGTAAAATATGCGTGACTATTTTGTCTGACAGGATCAGCAGCTTTCCCCTAATAGAACGTCTTTCACTGATACCAAAAATGCAACATTCACAACCCGACCTGTTACAACTCTCAACTGTAAAAAAAATTCTGAAAATGAGCAGAAGTCAGTCAGAAGTCATCGCTGGATCAATATTC